AAGAGGAAAAAGGCAGAATGGAGAATCTGTTCACTCTCGCGTGTGTTTGTGCATATATAACATATATGTAGAAGAAGGATGTGCGTGTACATATACCTCAGGATCCTTGGAATCGAAATCCATAGGGGTGGCGACATGGAAAACTGCAGTGCAGCCATTGATGGCGTCGTCGAAACTTCCCTCGTGGGCCAGATCGGCCTTCCACAGAGTCAGGTGCGTATCGGCTTTCGGCAGTTGCAGCAAATGCTTCACCTTCTTCATGTTAGCTGCAAAATGAAATCAAATAAGTAAAGACCAGTGTTATACGTGATTGGTGAATGAATAACGAAGAAGAAAGAGGGGTTGGAATGAAACCAGGGTCGCGCACGGTAGCTCGAACAGCGTAGCCGCGCTCCAGGAGTCTCATGACGAGCCATGAACCGACGAAGCCGGCAGCCCCGGTGACACAGACAGTCTTAGACACTGAACCCATGACTCTCTCTCGGTCTGTCTCTTTGGGCTAGTAGGAGAAAACTTGTAGAAGGAAGCGGAATGAACAATAATAAATGGGAATAAGGATAAAGGAGCGGGGCGTTATAGTGGAGGAATAATTAATAATCAAAGTGAAGGGTGATTCCTCATGAGGATGAAAGATATATAATTGCACGGGAAGAGAAGAATGAAAGGGAGGGAGAGGGCCGAAGGTGGCAGATTCTTATAGAGGGCGGGGGTTGTGTATGTGATGGGCAGTGCAAGTCTGCTTGTGCTTGTACTTGTTCTCTTCTATATATAGCCTCAGGCTGCCTCTTTATTTTATTTTGTTTTATTTGTAAATTCATTATGTTAATTTTGTTTTAATCAAATAAATTTGTATGTTATTACTCTCCAAACATAAAGGATTCGAAAATCAGGCGTTTGATTCGCCGTTTATGAAATGCTACTTTTGGATTAAAAACGTGCAGTTGTTACTATGTATCGTTTTTTTGTCAAATCAAAGTCTTGAAAATCCAGATTCTTTCAACTATGATGAGTCATTGAAATTCAATATCAAAGATCATTATGTCATTCAAGAATGAGTGAGAGAGAAAAAATGGAAAGAGTGGCTGAATAGCCATTAAGGCACGGGCTTCTTTTAGAAGACATTGTAGGATGATTGCAAAGAGTTGAAATCCGTGTATTTGGAAGTTGGAATGGAAGGTGCAATTTTGTTTAGGTGAGATTGAGAAACGTGGGATGTTTTGTCCGAAAGAGGTAGATGTCCATTTAGGTCATGTTTTATAGGATGAAGTCATTTTTTAAGGAAATCAAAAAAGGAAAAAAGAGGGAGAAGATAAGTTTTCATGGAAGTGCGGTTAATTTTTGGGTTTGTTGCACGGCAAAATAAGATGCCTCGAAATTGTGGAAAATTATTCTGATGATGCCAAATTCAAAATTAAATTACCGCATCTTGGAAAAAAAATTAGTTCTCTAGAATACTTGGATATACCGGATGACATCACAATAGTATTACCTCAGGTCTTTAATATAAAAACTTATTTCACTTTTATTTAGTCTTAAATATAAGACCTTAATCTATTTTCTTTTATATTTATCTATATTTTTTTCAAGGTAGTCATTTTAATAATAATAGTTCTAACCAATACATTTGATTAATAAGGATATTTAAAAAAACAATACTTATTTATTACTAATAACTTATTTAATTTATTTTTTAACTTATTTAATCAGTCAATTAATTTTTATATTTAGGATCGAAGGTACTACTAAACTAATTCTTTCTCGTGAGTTGAAAATCGAGTGAGTTGAATATGAGCTTTTAGATCAGATTAAAAAAAAAGAGCTTGAGAAACCCAATGAATTGACATGAGTTGGAAATGTTGACCAAAACATAAGCCGAAGAAATTTATTGGACCGAAACAGAGCCCATTTATAGACACGCACAAGAATATGGGCTGTTGCGTATGAAACCGGCTCCGAGTCCCATAACTCATTAATCAGTTCTTTTGGAAAACCCAGGAAGTTTTAAAAATGTTGAGCCCATGTATAGAGAGACTACGGCAAGAGAAAGAAATAAGTGGGTGGGCCAAATGAAAGGGAAACAAAAGTGTCCAGAATAGGCGAAAATTCCATTTCAAGGGCTACCCAAAACGTTGGGGTGTATATAAAATATAGGCCGGCCCCACATAGTCCTGAGCCGAAAAGAATGGCATTCCAAAGGATAAAAATATTTTGCACAGCAGCCTCAACCAATCTGTTTCATATTTTCTTTAGGGAAAATTACAATAAGTTCTCACATAAGAGAATTAAATAAAAAAATCTATTAAAATAATCAAATTATTCTCAATTCCTAAAGAACATCATTGAAAAAATTTTAATTGTTTAATTATCAAATTGCTCTTCTTTTTTTAAGTTTACATGACAATCGAAGGTGTAAGGATTAATAACTATCACAACCGGTATTAACAACATATTTTCTCAATACATCACAAAATGCAATATATGAATTGTCAATACCTACCATGATAGTTGTTAATTTTTACATCTTAAACTGTTAATGACTGCTCTTTTAGTTGTTAATGCAAACTTTAAAAAAAATTAAGAGCAATTTGATAATTAAACAAATGAATTCTCTTGCAATGAGGTTCCCTGAGACTTCAAAATAATTTGATGCTTTTAAGGGACCTTTTTGTGTTTAATTTTCTTTGATAGGACTTTGTTGCAATTTTCTCTTTTCTTTATCACAAAAGAAATACTCCTTTAGTCCTATTTATCAAGGAACAAAAAACCGGACCGGACACTAAACCGGTTGAGATAGGTGGTTAAAGGGTTAATGGTCAGGTCGGGGTTGAACCGGAGTCAACCGGTAATTATTAAAAAATATAATTTAAATAAAATTTCAAAAATATTCATTTTTATATAAAAATTTTAATAAAAATAATATTTAGAAGTATCCCATTAAGTGAACGTAGGGAGCGGATGACTAGGCTTTGGAAAGCGAAAAAGAAGATACAGTACTCATAGTGCCTGCAACACATTACCTGAATGGCCCTCTAAATTCGTGAACGTGCTAATCAATGCCTGCAACTGGAAATAGAGTACTCATAGTTGCCCCTTCCCCTGTCATTAATGCCTTTCTGCCTTCTCATTTTCATTCAAATCCTGGGACTGTGGCCTTATCAGAGCTCCTTCCTCTCTCAATTTCCGATCTTCATCCACCACACCACAAAACTCAAGTGCCCGCCTCTTGAAGCATTTCTCTTCCCTCTTCCATGCTCTCTACCTTTTAAAAGAAGGTTTTCACTTCATTTTTCATCATAATTTTTCAAGAGTTTTCTCTTCCAGTAAGTTATTTTTATCTCTTCCTCTATTTTCCTTCTCTGCTTTCTCTCCCTCTTTCTCTAATTTTCAGATGGACTTATTATTTCCCCATTCTGGTCTGGGTCTGGTCGGGAGGGAGGGACCGAGGGAATTGCTACAAATTGTTGTTCGATTTTTTCTCCTTCCTTTTAAGCATTAGACGACGTCGTTTTAGATTTGGGGAGGAGGAAAAATATTAACCGGTTTACCCCCGAACCGGACGGTTCACCGGTTAATTTCCGGCTTGACCGGTTACTTTCCGGTTCAACAGGTGACCGTTTTTCTGCTTAAACCAGACCGGACTTTGGACCGGTTCACCGGTTTTCTGGTTGAACCGGCCGGTCCGGTCCGGTTTTCTTTCCTTGCTATTTATACGACAGACAAAGAATACATTTTTTAGTCTTATTTATAAGGTACTGAGAAATTTTTTTTTTGTATAGATGTAAATTTTACCTCTCATTTATTATTGCGTTGATTTATTTACGTGAGGTATAATGTATTTTAATAGGATAAAGTTAGAAAGTTATTAAATTTTAAATGAGAGTTAATGAAGTTTAAGATTTTTCTTGATCTATGTAAAACATGTTAAAAATATCTTATAAATAGAATCAGAGGAGTAATAATCAATTGAAGGATTAGGCCTCAAACACCGCAAAGAAGAGCTTCAAAAAATATTTCGAAATTCCTCACCCTCCATCTGATATAGCCGCGGCTTTGAATACCTCTGTAGTCAACAGACTGACAGAGCATAAAGCATCCCAAAAATAAAATAAAATCCAAATGTTCGAAAATCTTTGAGAAATTTTTTGCTTTTTTGGTCTACAAAATCCGGAGCTTCCGTGCACAAATCGTCATAAATGAAAGTTGGAATACATTTTTATATTTTCCTCCTATAATATCTGATAACGTCACAATAACGACGTTCAACACTTCATATATGACCCGTCTCTGTTAGGAAGTGTCTCACGGTTTTGTCGCTTGTTTGCCTAAATGAATGAATCCTATTCCTTGAGGCGCGTAATCAGTTCATTAAATTTCAAATCATGCACAAATAATTCCAAGTTTGTAAACTCCATCTAAAACGGAACTTCCAATCCAATAAATCATTTACTCGTTATGTTATTTTAGCATTGTTTGCCTGATTTGTTCTTCGCGTGCTATTATTTTGAGTAATGCTCAAAATTACCTGGCAAATATATATATTTTTTATTATTATCAACCTCACCATTGTCATCCTTGTCAGTAACTAATACTGCGACTCTGCGAGCTTGAAAACGACTTTTTTCACATATTTTAAGGGATTCATTTGATTCCAAAAAGATCGTCCTCTGGCTAATAAAAGAAGATATGGCTGACAAAACAGGTCCTAATCACCCTTTGAACAATTCAGAGCCTGCCTTTATAAGGACGTCTTTTTTTTTTTTTCCCCTGGACACAATTTACTCCTGCTTTGGGCGGCCTCATCACTCTTTGCCCAGAAAAGAAGTACGTCTTTTACTCCTTTTTTTTTTTAAAAAAAGATATTTGAGAGTTATACCGAGACCCTACCAAATTGCTTGTTCTTCTTTATATATAGAGGTAAATTAATTCAAATCCTTCTGCTTGCTTGAGCTTGTCATAATATCGCGTGTATGTGTGTGTGTAGCTCTGGCATATACACGTGTTGACATATTCAGAGTTCAAAATTGAATTTCTCATTACTGGATAGAGGTATCAGCTCTCAACAGAGCTAAGAAAACCTCCTTAGTCTAAAACAGAGTAAGCCAACATAAAATACAACCTTGCACTGAATAATGGAGACAAATCCAAGCCTTGGCCGCCGAAGCTATCAAATGGCCTCGCCGGTAGCTATATAGAAGAGCCAAAACCATGAGGAACACGATATATGTAATATATATATATATATATATATATCACATTTTCACTTTTCGTGTGTGGTACCGTTAAGACGAGTTTCTGTTGTCTTGAGAAGAAGTCCTTTTTCTTTGCAGGTATCAACAGCTTCTATGAACATGTCCTCTAAGCTGTATTTGAATTGAAATCCTAAATCTGTAATCTTCTTAGAAGAAAAGTGCACAATCTCCAAGTTATCTGGAATATTGTTAAACCTGTAAACAAAATCATAAATCATGTTTACAATAACATTAGTCCAACATGGATTCATTCATTCACGCCGTAAAAGAGTTTGTTGTTAACTATGAGCTTGAATTAAAAGGACAGAAAGAAGGGGGAAGGTATATGTATATATACTTGGTGGGGACATTGTACTCGGGATATTTTTGATTAAGAATTCTCGCAATATCATTGAATGTTGGCGTCATGGGAAGAGCATATGTATCTTCCTTCTGCCGCAGGATGCTCTGACAAGAATATGTGACCCATACAGAGATCATCTAAATGAACATATTGGCCTTGCGTTATGATTGAATAATGCGCTTCATTCCCTGCAATCACAATTAATATTTTTAAATCAAAGTCCGCATGATGAACGACTGCAAAATTGAAATTAAAAGACTTCTTGATAATAACGCACCAGTAATGGGAGAAAGAGCAGTGATAAGACTGGGGCATTGAATCCATGAGGAAGGGACCAACCACAAGGGGAGGAATGACAGTTATGAAATCCATGTTATGTTGTTTGGCAAATTTCCATGCCTCCTGCTCTGCCAACGTTTTTGAAACGAAATACATCTGCAAAATATTTGGTTTTGTGAATGTCTGAGATTACTTGTCCCTCTTATGTAGGGAATTGATCCCAGAACAAATGCCGAGCAGAGAAAGAGGAGAAAGCAAGCTACTAACCCAACCGGTCATCTTTTCTCTGCGACAAAACTCAACATCGCTCCAGCAAGTCTCGTCGAACACTGGTTTTTGATGCTCGACGACGTTGACGGTTCCGGCAGAGGATGTGAATATCAATCTTCTCACGGTGTTGGCCTTGACGCATGCTTTCATGATATCCAATAAGCCATTGATGGTTGGTTTTATCACTTCATTCTATACATAAATGTTTCCCAGTCATATTCAAATTGTCTCAACATTTAATTTAATATGAAAATGCTCCGTCAAGTCAAGTGAAGTGCCTATTGCAATGATGAGTACTATGATGTTCATTGCGATCTAAATCATTTAAAATTAGTTTTAATAGTCTAGATTCAATATAGATTATGCGTTAAAAAAAAAAAATACAATGGGCTGCTGTCCTCTGTCCAATCAAAATACTATAGTGCGTGTGTAATAAAATTTATAGAAAATCTCGCATTATAAACTACGAACGAGATGATTTATTTCAACACGTCATGCAAGACAGGTGCAACAGGTAGAATCTGAGTTCAAGTGGCTTAGTTATGTTTGCAGCAACGGAAAGAACAGAGAAAAGGAAGATCAAAAAACGAGAACGGATGGAGACGGCGGTGACGTGGATATTCGGGGGAAAGAATTTTGAATGAAAAGGCCACGCATGAATGGCCGAACGAGCTGTGAATATACTACCTCCGGTCTTTATTATAAGATCCCATTTGATTTTTTGTTTGGTCCTAATTATAAGACCCTAATTCATTTTGTCTCTCATATTTATGCATTTTTTCTAAAATAATCCTTCTAATAATGATAGTTCTAGCCAATATACTTAATTAGCAAGGATATTTTAGGAATAACAACACTTATTTATTACAAATAACTAACTTAACTTACTTCTTTAATCTCCTCAAATAAGTTAACTGGGTCTTATAATTAGGACCGGAGGTAGTAATATAAAGAGGAAAGCAGAAGGAAGAATGTGTTCACGCGAGCGTGTGTACGTTTGTGTATATATGTGCAGAAGAAGAATGTGCGTGTATACATATACCTCAGGATCCTTGGATTCGAAATCCATGGGGGTGGCGACGTGGAAAACTGCGGTGCAGCCAATGATGGCGGCGTCGAAACTTCCCTCGTGAGCGAGATCGGCCTTCCACAGAGTCAGGCGCGTATCGGCTTTGGGCAGTTGCAGCAAGTGCTTCACCTTCTTCATGTTAGCTGCAAAATGAAATCAAATGAACAAAGGCAAGTGTTATGGGTGACTGGTGAATGAATAACGAAGCAGAAGAAGAAAAAGAAAGAGGGGTTGGGAATGGAACCAGGGTCGCGCACGGTGGCTCGAACAGTGTAGCCGCGCTCCAGGAGTCTCATGACGAGCCATGAGCCGATGAAGCCGGCAGCGCCAGTGACACAAACAGTCTCAGACGCGGAACCCATGATAGCTCTCAGTTTTTGGGAGGGAACGAACAGTAACAAAGGGGAAGGAGATTGGGGGGGCGGGGGCGTTATAGCAAGGGGAGGAATTAACAATAATATATATACTTGCACGGGCAGAGAGGGAGGGCGGGGGTTGTGGGATGGCATGGCAAGTGAAATGCCGCGGGTATTTATAACATCGAATCAGATGACGGTCATGGCTTTGTGACTCGCGGGTTCAACCAACAGTCTGTGATTCTGTTTGTTAGGTGTCCTTTTGACCGACAGCTTCCCTTAAAGGCATGCTTCCTCTTGTCTTCTTTCCCGTTTTTCCTTTCCTTTGTCTACTTCCTCATCCACTTTAATTTCTTCCTCTTTCTACATGTGTCTATAACCATAGCTAGCCTTTCAAATCAATATGAACATAACTAGTAGGTTTCATATATCTATATATATATATATATATATATATATACTCCTCCGATCCTTAATATAAGATCTATCTAACTAATTTGATTAGATTAAGGAAGTTAGGTAAGTTAGTTAATTATAAGAAATGTGACACGTTTTTCCTAAAATACCATAATAATCTTTCTTAATACCTTCTCTTTCTCTTCTATTTGATTATGGTTGAGGGAATATCTATAGGGATAATTTAGAGAAAATTGATAAATATGATAAATAGATCTTATATTTAGCACCAAAACCAACTCAATAATTGAGTCCTATATATTAAGGACCGGAGGAGTATATTAATTATTCTCTGATCCTTCTCACTTCTTACCTTATGCTACTTGTATCTGAATATGAGAAGAGCTGTATCGTCATGACGTCATGAGACGTGCAATGTTTGGATTTGATATTAAAAGAGGAACTATTAAGGAAACGCGCAATTATTATGATCTCCATCAATTATGTTATTATTAGATGGGATATTAATTTTAGATGGCTAAGGAGCCCAAATTTGTGTACTGCCACACGTGATTCACACCGTAGACGATGTACCAGCCGTTAGGGGTATTCATGGGCAGGATTGGGTAGAGCATGCCCCATGCCCGATGTCCAGCCCGAAAGATAAGCGAGCTGCAAAACCCTGCCTTGCCCTGCAAATGGTGATACCTCGGAGAAAAATTTTCTAGTTAAAACAAGGGTATCTTATAACAACTATAAAGAAATAAATACTTGAAGAAACAATAAATTCAACAAATCAATAAATTTGATCTGTCTTAAATTGATATATCTTTTAATACAACACTAAAGTGAACATGTTTTTGCATCTCTACAAGACAACCAACAATGAAAACAAACTAAAATATACTAAATAAGATTAGAAAAACATTAAAAAATTACTAAGAGGGAAGAATTAAGTATACCTCTCAATGTATCTAAGACAAATGGAAGAGGAGAGAATAATATATATTATATATATTATATATCGTTATATGTATTTCTGACAAAAAAAAGAATTATAAATATATATTACAGGCAGAGTCAAATGGGCAGGCAGCATACCCTGTCTATAGCCCAACCCTGCCTATGATATGCCCAGTCCAAGAATGTCCATTTTTTTCTAGGCTGTTTTTTTCCAGACTGGCCTAGGCCATTTTCTCTCGGGTTTAGGTTGGCATACTACACTAGCAGTTTTGGTGAACATCGCTACCAGCCGTTTAGCAAATTAAAGGTGGTAATGTAATAATTAGGGGTGTTCATGAAGCCCAGTAGCCCGCTATGCCCGCCCAAGCCCGCAAAAAAATGCCCAGCCCGTCCTAAAAAAAATGGCCCGAAAGAACTATTGGGCATGTTCGGGCTGGGCAAACTGTTGGGCAGGGCTGGGCATCGGGCACGGTATGCTGCCCTGCCCATTTGGCCCTGCCTGCAAAAATATATATAATTTTATTTATATATATTTTATTTGCCTCATATTTATTTCCTAAATCAAACGCATTGTTGTATCAATATTCAGTATTCATTATACTTATTTATTTTTGAATGATTTTGAGAGTTAGAAACTAGAAAAATAATTAAGTTTAATAAAATATATTAACAACATTTTTTGTCATAATCCACTCCTCTTAGCTACTACAAAAAGTAGTTTCATAGTATATTAATTAGTAATAACAAAATTAAGGCTAAGTTTCCATTTTAATAAAGTTACATTAGATTATTTAGAAGGATATAAATAATTAGTTAATTAATATAGTATATTGACTTGTTGGGCATAGAAACCCGCCCTGCCCAGCCCACATTTGCTCAGCCCAAATTTATTAGTGCTTTTTAGGGGTGTTCATGAAGCCCAGTAGCCCGCTATGCCCGCCCAAGCCCGCAAAAAAATGCCCAGCCCGTCCTAAAAAAAATGGCTCAAAAGAATTATTGGGCTTGTTTGGGCTGGGCAAACTGTTGGGCAGGGCTGGGCATCGGGCACGGTATGCTGCCCTGCCCGCAAAAATATATAGAATTTTATTTATATATATTTTATTTGTCTCATATTTATTTCTTAAATCAAACGCATTGTTATATTAATATTCAGTATTCATTATACTTATTTATTTTTGAATGATTTTGAGAGTTAGAAACTAGAAAAATAATTAAGTTTAATAAAATATACTAACAAAATTTTTTGTCATAGTCCACTCCTCTTAGCTACTACAAAAAGTAGTTTCATAGTATATTAATTAGTAATAACAAAATTAAGGCCAAGTTTCCTAGTAATAGTTGGGTGGACAGTTGAAGTGCTGCGCCTCGTGCTTTGAATTGAATTGTTGTTTCCTTTCTTCCTCAGCTCGTCTGCCCATGATGTTGACATGCTAGAATCGAGAGAGCCACTAATAAGGGAAAATGCACTTATCCTGATCTTTTAACTGTTTAGTTTTCTTGAGCATCCCAAAATTGATCCGCCGCGTGCATGCTGGTCATTCACATACCAAGTAAACATCAGATCAGACCATCTATAATTCCATATCGACAATCAGACTCAAGAGGAAACGGGAAAAACCTGTGAATGGATTGAATAACCCCACTGAAATATTAATTAAACACTATTAAACATATACTCTCACAGTTATTAAAATTTCCTCTCTGCTTTCCCAATTTCACATTCAAGGCTCGGAGGTGGAAACCCCTAAGATGAATCAAGAATATCACTATTTTTATTACTTTTATCTCTAATTAATCCTGTCATCTTTTTCGCATATTTTCTTTTACCTTTTTGTCATTATTTTTGCCCTCCATCTGCCTTCCCGCAATTTTTAAAGAACATTCACAAAAAAAAAATTGAAATTATTAAATCCCAAATCATGTCTGGTTTTCATGCTTTAATAGGTTTTGACAATACTTGATATGCAAATAACAATGCATTGTCGTGGGAGTTCTTTATTTATGATTTAGTAATTTCAAATCTCTTTTTATGGGATTCTCTCATAAAAAAATATCCTTTTTAATGTATTTATTATTGTTAATTAATTTTATTAAATATTTTAAATCACGTAATTTAATTATTTAAATTTTATAAAAAGAATGAAAAATAGTACCACCTTCAATTCTAAATATAAGAACTAATTCGTAGTGTGATTACATTATAAATTACTCTCTCCGTTCCTCTTTATAAGCAACAACTAGCATTCATTTCTTGTTCCTAATTATAAGTAACATTTGTAAGTTGTCTTAAATTTTTGTAACAAATTTCTTATTTTGCCCCCATTAATTACTTATTTTAATACTTAATATATATTTATTATCTTATTTCTCAAATTATCATCTTTCTTTATCGACATTCTCTCTTTCATAATTTTTTATTCTCTTTCCTATATTCTCTCTCCTTATAAATAAAGGTATTTTGAAGAAGAAAGAACTTTTAATTTCTACTTATTTATTATCTTTAACTTACTTTTTGATCTACATGATAGAATTTAATATTGTTTATGTTATAAATAAAGAAGAAGAACAGAGAAGAAAAGAATATCAATAAGAGAGAGTATTTCTCATTCTATTCAAGGGTGCCCAATACATTATACATTATCTCTATTTATAGGAACAACTTTAGATCTTTGATAGAATCTATATATATAATAATAAAAGATAATTGCAGATAATGGGAATAATAGGAGATATTGAAGATACTTAGAGACAAGGGAGATAATGATAGATACATGGACATCTATAAAGATATTATATTCATAACACTCCCCCTTGGATGTCTATAACTAAATATGTACCTTATTAAAAAACTTCTACTAGAAAAACCCTATGGGACAAAACCTAGTAGAAGAAAAAGAGTGTAACATTTATCGATATATATTTCATAATGTTGCCTCGTTAAAAACCTTGCTAGGAAAAACCATAGAAAAAAAAGAGAGTACAGTATATATTTACTCCCCCCTTAATAATATTAGTTGATATCTCTGAGTCTGTGAAGTCCAATGTCATGAATAAGTCTCTCGAACGTGGTGGCTAGAAGTGATTTGGTGAATAAGTCTGCTAAATTTTTATTGGAATGAATTTGTTAGATATTGACTTCACCATCCTTTTGAAGGTCACGAGTGAAGGAGAATTTTGGGGAGATATGCTTTGTTCTATCTCTTTTGATGTACCCTTCTTTTAGTTGGGTAATAGATGCAGTATTATCTTCGTATAGTATTGTCGGGATCATTTTACCAGAAGACAAGCCACAAGTAGTTCGTAACTTCGTATGTGATGTATTAAGAACCTTAACCATACACATTCCCGACTTGCTTCATGCATTGCTAGAATCTCCGCATGGTTAGATGATGTGGCTGATATAGTTTGTTTCATAGATCGCCACAAAATGGTTGTACCACCACATATGAATAGATAGCCAGTTTGTGATTTACTACATGTAGGTCAGACTGAAATACAGCATCTGCATAGCCAATAAGATTGGTCTTGGATGCATTCAAATAAAATAATCCCATGTCCATTGTACCCTTAAGATAATGAAGGATGTGTTTAACTCCATTCTAATGCCTTCGTGTTGGTGAAGAACTATATCTTGCTATTAAGTTGACTGCA